CTGGGCTGGGTCAGCCTGAAGAAGAGAAGGCTCCTGAAGGGGAGACCTTAGAGCAGCTCCAGTGCCTAAAGGGGCTGCAGGAAAGCTGGAGAGGGGCTTTGGCCAAGGGCCTGTAGGGACAGGCCAAGGGGAATGGCTTTAACCTGCCCGAGGGGAGACTGAGATGAGCTCTTGGGCAGAAGCTCTTCCTTGTGAGGGTGCTGAGGCGCTGGCACAGGGTGCCCAGAGAAGCTGTGGCTGCCCCATCCCTGGCAGTGTTCAAGGCCAGGTTGGACACAGAGGCTTGGAGCAAGCTGCTCTAGTGGAAGATGTGCCTGCCTGTGGCAGGGGGTTGAGACTGGATGAGCTTTAAGTTCCCTTCCAGCACAAACCAGTCTGGGATTCTGTGAAATAACGGGAAAGTGCTGTTCAGAGGATAAAGCTCCAGGCTGGATCTGGAAAACCTGTTTTGTTTCTTGCCTGGCTGCAGCTTGTGGGGTGATGTTTCAAATACACATTCAGTGGGGTTCTCGTAAAGGAATGTTCTTAGTCTTTTTGCTCTTTCAGTCTCTCTTGCCTGCTGTGGTGGGTATTGATGGATAAACAAGGGAGTTTTGTGTGTGCTTGTGTCCCTGCAGTGGAAGCCATGTTTTCAGCTATGTGTGAATGCCAGGCTCTGCACCCAGACCCAGATGATGAAGATTCAGACAACGACTATGAAGGGGAGGAGTACGACGTTGAGGCCCATGGTTTGTAACACTTCTTCCTTTGAAATACCAGTCAGCACCTCCATACCTGCTGTCTGTGATGGTTTGGTCTCTTTAGAAGTTCCTTGTTTGTTGCTCCTCTTGCTGAAACATTAATTTGCGAGAGGCACATAAACCAACTTAAAATCTGAAGGAAATCTGTCACAAATCACTGGAATTCAGCAAAAACATTGTTCTCATGCTCAAAAGCCCCAAGACACCGATATCAGCCTTTGCTGGTCCCAGTGGATGTGTTTGCAGAGGTGTGTGCTCAATTCACATTGCCATGTATGTGCTGTAATTGATGTGAGCAGCCTTTTAGTCTCAGCTGGCTCATCTTAACATAATTTACCTGTCTTCTTGTTCCTCCTCCCCTGCTTGATGCAGGCTCCTGAACTCCTGATAAACACCAACTTGTCTCCACAGAGCTACAGCAAGGTGACATCCCCAGCTTCTACACCTATGAAGAAGGGTTGTCACATTTAACTGCAGAAGGACAGGCCACGCTGGAGAGGTTAGAAGGCATGTTAGCCCAGTCTGTCAGCAGCCAGTACAACATGGCTGGAGTCAGAACAGAAGACTCAATAAGGGAGTTTGAAGGTAAGAAATGCTTTTGTTTTCATACTATTGCAGAATTCCAGGTTGGAAGGGATCTGGAGGATTATCTGGTCCAATCTGTCTTAGGGAAAGCATGACCTAGACTAGATGGCCCAGCACCCTGTCCAGCCCTGTCTTAAGTGTCCAGTGTTGGGGAATCCACCACCTCCCTGGGGGGATTATTCCAATGGCTGGTTGGAATCTCCCCAGGAGTAACTTGTGCCCATCACCCCTGTCTTTTCCCTGAGACTCCGTGTAAAAAGGGAGTCTCCATTTCCTTAGTAGCCACCCTTTAAATACTGGAACATGGGGATAAGGTCCCCCCTGAGCCTTCTTTGCCACAGCTGCTCACTGTTCACTCCTATGGAGCTTGTTTCTGCCAGGTCCTTTTGCCAGAGCTGCTGTAGCCAGGCAGATCCCAGGCTGTGCTGCACTCTGGGACTGGGTTTTCCCAGGTGCCAGACCTGACACTTGGCCTTGCTGAGCTCCATCAGGTTCTTGTTATCCCACTCTTCAGCCTGTCCAGCTCATCCTGCAGGGTGGCTTCCCTTTTCCAAGTGTCTACTTCCTCACTTAGTTTGGTGTCATCAGCAGACTTCATCAGGGAACACTTGGTCCCATCACTCAGATCCCTTATGAAGACATTAAGCAGCATTGGACCCAATATCAGTCCCTGGGGTACCCCACTGGTGAGAGGTTCCCACTTGGAGAAGTAGCTGCTCATCACCACCCTTGGGGTGCAACCTATCAGCCAGATCCCACCCTCTGCATGGACCACTTGTCCAGACCATAACCCATCAGGTCCTTTAGGAGGAGGCTGTAGGAAACCCTGTCAAAAGCCTTGGAGAAGTCCAGGGAGACAACGTCCACCACTCACCCCACGTCAGCATTGTCATAGAAGTTCATGAGATTCATCAGGAAAGACAAACTGAAGCCTGTATGAGAGCAGTGGTTCTGCAGTCTGGCTCCTTCTGTTAGAGCACAATTAAAGCTATTCAAAGGAATCATGTAGCCATTTGCTACACCAAAACTTCATTTAAAGATGGAATAGTTTAACTCTGGGATTTAAGTCATTTTAGTAAGATGGGGTGAGATGAGGTGGTGGGAAGCAGCTATGGCTTTAATTGACCAGCCAGTTTCCTGTCCTGGCCATCTTCTGTCAACAGAGGGCCCTCGTTCCCTTTGCTGTTAATATCACCCGCTTGTGTGCAGTGTTGTGTAGCGTGGCTGTTCGTTTTCAGATGGGATGGAGGTGGACATAGCACCAGTAGTTGCGGGGCAGTTTGAAGATGCAGAAGTCGATCACTGAGGAGGCCACGTGCTGCTGTAAGTCCTGCTTTCCAATCCTTTTCAGTATGCAGAGCCTTCTGTCTTTGTGATGTATATAATGCATGTGATCCCAGATCTCCTGCAAGGAAGATATTGGGATGATGATGACTTAGAGAAGGAAAAGGTAGCTGTAGTTAGTGCAGATGTGGAAAGATGCTCAGTGATCTGTCCAAAATTGCCTGTTGGTGTAAACAGTCACCTGCATGGAGGTGCCTGTCTGGAAGTTCAGCCCTTCATTAAACTCTCCCATCTCAAAGGCTCTTAGATGCTGGAGTTGTTGCTAGGAAGTTATGTCTTTAGTGTCTATTATTTCACTCTGTGTGCAGGAATTCCGAGGCCTTCCAATGGGATGGAGCACTTGACAAGTGCTGTGAGTCCATCTCTTCCTTTACTGCAAGCAGAGCAGGAACAGTTGCTGCTAAAGCTACTGAGCAATCTGGATGGGGTTGTTGTTAGAGACAACACTCTGCTTAGGTGGCTGTGCCAGTGACCATCACCTGCACTGCTTTTCTCCTGTTGGTGGCATTACAAGACACGCCAGTGTTTCCTTGACACTGGGAGGAGATGGAGAGCAGCTCATTCTGGGACTGTATGGAGATGCACAGTCACAGCAGGATGGTGATTCCAGCCCTGCTGCAGCAGTGCTCACCAGTGCAGTGTTTGCCTGTGCTGCTGAAGCAGTGGTATGTTGTCCCAGTTCTTCTGCCTCTCTCAGGAGAGGCTGCTAGATCTTGCCTTGCAGCAGGCACAGAACTATCCCACTTGGAATGCTGGAGAAAATAGTTATGGGCAGTATCTGAAAGGTCAGGGAGGAAGAAGGAAAGGGCAGGGGAGGAAAGGGACACAGGAAAATGACATGCTGAAAAATTCAGTGGAAATTGGTTTGGGACTACGCTGGGAGAGAGGCTGCAGCCCCTAAGAGAGGCTGTTGTGGAGCAGTGATGCACATCTGCTTCCCTCCTCTGCTCTTCCTTTGCCTTTGCTGTTAATACTCATGCAGTAAGTCTGAGTAGCTCCGTGCTCACTGATCTCAACCACTGCTGTGGGTCCTGAGTTAGTGTTTATTGTTGAGTGCAAGAGCTCAAACCTTGCCCACCCTGGGAAGGACTTTGCAGTACAGGGAGTTCTCCCCATAAAAGTCAAGATACTTGTTGCCCCATTGGACTTAAGTTGATAAAGGAAAACTCTTCAGCTGTAGCTGAAGAGCCTCTTAGTGAATGGGAAGCTTGGCTCTGATAATTCCATCTCCAGGATGATTTTGGTTTGTGTTTTATGAAAAGAATAAGTAATTGTGCTGTTGAAAAGTCAAATTTGAATGTGTATTTGAATACTTGGCCAGGATTAAGGAGAGTTCATGGCTGGTGGCAGATCTCTAAGGAGCCTGAAGTGCTGGTGGAAGTGGTGTTGACTGATCTCCTAGCAAAGCACCAAATCCACTCTGTAAGAAGTTGTTTTGGTCAGAGAAGTTATTCCTGCTGCTTAATCTGTGCCTTCCGTGGGGCTGCAGGTGGCTGTGGGGGATTAATGCTGTGAGAGGTGACTGGATAGGGAGTCTGCTGTCCTGCTTGCCCTTGTCCTTACTGGTCAGAGCTGAGGAGCTGGTCCCTGCCAGGGCAGATCAAGTGATGTGCACGTGTAGTGATGCTGTTCCAGGTAGCAGCTCAGGAGCTGTGGGTGTGATGGGCCTTTCTAAACCAGCCTGAGTGCATTTATGATGTTATTTAAGTAAGTTCAGAACTCTGTGATGTACAGCAGCAATAAATAACTGAAGGTGCCAAGTGACAAGAACAGTTCTTAGAGACCTGTGCTAATGAGTTTGAGCATGAGGATGAGGGTAGCTTAGTTCTACACTCTGTAAACAGCAGAGAGGGAGCATGCTCTGATCTTCGTACTGAGTCACTGCTGTGATCTTGTCTATGGAGCAGCTGAGCCCATTTAACCTTCTGAACCACAAAACCACTGTGCAAGAACATGTTGTTGGTGACCTGTTATGGAGCAGAACACTGCCCTGCTGCTAAAGCGATGCCCTTGTGGGCTGCTCATGTTGCATATTCCTGCTCATTACCCAAATGAGATGTGGCAGTTGCCCACCAAAGCTCCTGGAGACGTGCTGCCGGTTCACGTGGGATGTTTCCACTGGTGTTTAACGAGCAGCTTTGTGTCTGGCACATCACGAGTTGCAGTTTGTTGTTCTGGAGTGGCTAGCATGGCTGTGTGTGGTGGTGCAGTGGGTTGTCCTTAGCTGACCCGAGCTTAGAGCTGCTGCCAAAGATGTTCAGCCCTTGTGAAGACCGGTGGGTTTGCAGTGAAGTGCTGTCCCCTGTGCTGCAAACAACGATTACCTATGACTTTGTAAAGATAAATAACCTTTATTTTAATCGTGTAAACTTGGTGTCTTGTATCTTTCAGATTCCTCTTGTGGCACTTGCAGAATAAGCTGTAAAACTGAAGGCATGGCAGTGACTATCAGGAGTTAACCTTTCTTTTAATGACCTAAGCTTCAGACATCTAAGGTCTAAAAATGCTTTTATAGATGTTTAAACCAGGGTTTGACATTTGTGACCACTATGGGGTTATTTAAGCAGCCAGAACCAACCAACCAACCCAATAAAACCTCTTTGCATCTAACACTTGAATGGGGCTAATCAGGGGGCATTCAGAGAAGCCTTTGTAGGAGTTCTGGGACTCGAGAAATCCAACTGTAAGTAGAACAATTTTAGATTGTCCTGGAATTCCCTGTATTTTTGTACCTGTTCATTGAGGTGGGTAAAATGGGACTAGAAACGTTTCAAAGCTGGACTAAAAGGACATAGGGTCAGCCAGGGACTGAAAGCAAAGCTACATGTAATGCCCCTTAAGTGACTGGGGTCAGTTCTGTGCTATCCCTTTTATTTCTCTGAGAGCAGGGTTTGGGTGGGAGAGGAGATGGACTAAGAGTGTAAAGTCCTGAAAGAGGGAACTGTTTTGTGTCTTTGTATCACACGTTAACAATGTTGTGAAATAAACTAAGATTTCTTTTGTATCTCACAACCAGCTCAGTGCTGCAGGTCTCAGTCCATTCCTTCAGCAACTGTGATTCTGAGCCCATGTCCTTTGGGTTTGGTGCATTCTTGTAGAGCACAAAGTCCAATGGAGCCATTTCCTGGGCCACCTGCATGTGAGGACAAAAAGGCAGAACATATTCAGAGGGCACCTGTAATACAGAATTAGTCTGACCCATCCCAAACTTGGGAACGCAGATTTAAATGGCCAAAGCTTGGTCCTGCTGCAGCTTTCCCTGCTTCATCTCTGGGTGCTGGTGGTTTTGCCATGGGGCAGTGTCAGCAAATTCAAGTGTTTCACCCCCCAGCATTCAAATGAAAGTTGTTCTTGATTTTCATTTGATTTGTTAGGTTGACTTGTGGATAGTTTTCAGTATTAATATGTTGGTAGATGAGCAGTTTTCTTTACCAGCCCTGCACTCTTGCAGTTAGTTACTTTGAATGGTCCTGCTCTGCTCAGCACATTAAGACATGGTGTGATTTCAAGGTACGTGAAAATTATAACTACCCTTGATGAGTATTCATTAAGAATTGCAGCCAAATTAGTGACGATTTAATAGTGGTGTGAACTTGACATTGCTGAATACATTGGGTATTAGTGTTATACAAGACATTCTAGAAGAATGTCTTCACTAGCCCCTTTGTATACATAAATTGGAATCATACAATGGTTTGGGTTGGAAGGGACCTTAAAGCTCATCCAGTTCCAACCTCCTGCCACGGGCAGGGACACCTTCCACTAGAGCAGCTTGCTCCAAGACCCTGTGTCCAACCTGGCCTTGAACACTGCCAGGGATGGGGCAGCCAAAGCTTCTCTGGGCACCCTGTGCCAGCGCCTCAGCACCCTCACAGGGAAGAGCTTCTGCTTAAGAGCTCATCTCAGTCTCCCCTCTGGCAGGTTAAAGCCATTCCCCTTGGTCTGTCCCTACAGGCCCTTGGCCAAAGCCCCTCTCCAGCTTTCTTGGAGCCCCTTTAGGCACTGGAGCTGCTCTAAGGTCTCCCCTTCAGGAGCCTTCTCTTCTTCAGGCTGACCCAGCCCAGCTCTCTCAGCCTGGCTCCAGAGCAGAGCTGCTCCAGCCCTTGCAGCATCTCCGTGGCCTCCTCTGGGCTCGCTCCAACAGCTCCACTTCCCTCTTGTGCTGCTGCCCCAGAGCTGGATCAGGGCTGCAGGGGGTTTTCCCCTTCACACAGCAGAGGGGCAGGATCCTCTCCCTGAGCTGCTGCTCACACTCTGGGGGTGCAGCCCAGCACACCAGGGGGGAGTTCTGGGCTCAAGCACACACTGAAGCCGGGTCATGGGGAGCTTCTCCTCACCCAACACCCCCAAGTCCTCCTCAGGGCTGCTTTCAGTCTGACTTCTGTGCTTTATGGACTTTGCTTTCACACGCTGTTATCAGTGAGGTGGAAGCTGGCCTCTAAGCCAGTAAATCCTGGCTGCCTGTGGGTTTGTATCTCTACTTTCTCTTTCCCCTGGCTGCCTGCTTTTATGCTTGATGACCTTTGTTCTCGAGACCTTTTCCCTGTGGGCCTCATGGGCTCAAGGGAGACATGCAAATCAGTTCATTATGTCAGGCCTATTTGTGCAAGAAATGAGGTTAATAACTGAGCCTGAGTAAGCCAATGAAGGCAAAGTCCCAGGGAGGGGGAAAAATTATGTCCAACGTATGGATCACTTTAAAATAGGTAAAAAAGCAGCAAAGCCATAGAGTGGGGAAGTAGAATCTTCCCAAAGCATCTGTTTAGAAGCCGTGGGTAATGTGTTAAAAGGACATGTTTTTTAGAGGTCTCACACGCTGGGTTCTGTTCTAGCATCTCTCCAGGGCTGAGCTACAAACAGGCAGATGAATGTAAAACCAGCTGAAAGATCGTGTCTGCTCGCGCTCACAGTGTGGTGTGTGTAGTCCCTGCTGTGAGGAGTTTTACTGAAGACAAGTAAGTCTCCTTTATTAGGCTTATGTTAGTACCCAAGAGCTGCTGACTGATCACCCAACAGTTGTCATCAGTGTATTAGCAGGCTGCTTTGGTTTAATGACTGAATACAGGGTTGTGGGTAAGACTCTTGTATGAAACCCAGTGTTTCAAGTTCAAACGGTTGATTTTGCAATACAACCTTAGAGGTACGTAGGATAATTAAAATGAGAGAAGATTTTATTGCCACAAGGAAGAAATGACATGAGAATGTTTACTTCCCCAGCTCTTGCCAGAAAAGGCAGCTGACAGCAGCAGCTGGTCAAGACTTGGTTCATCATTTGACTGCAGAATAAAACCCAACAAAGCCTGTCTGATTCCTTCCCTTTCTCTCAGGATCTGGGCTGTTACTACTGGTAGCTTTGTAGAACTGGTTAACCACCTCCCCTCTCAAACCTACTTCCTATAAAGTGAAGTCTTCAATTTAAAAACTATCAGCATATATAAGAATTAAGATGCTTTCAGAAGAATCCACCTCATGCTACAAAGACGACTTAAGGGGATGGTACCTATTGGTGGTGTTCTCCTCAGTGGAGGGTATAAAGGTTGTTTGTGGCAGTTTGTGTATGTAGCGCTTTAATTTCTTTACCTGTATTGCAAATTCATTTATTAAAGAAAAACATCTGGTAAGAGTTACATGAAATCAAGTTCCACATGATTCATCCCTATGTGCTGTGTCTATTTTACTGTGTGAAGAGGCAGCAGTGATCTCAGGTGAAGTAGTTTGGGTTGGTTTTTTTGCCCAAAATGCCCTTTTTTGTGAGTGTGACTACAGACCTTTATGGTACTTTATTACTGCTTTTTCCACCCAAGAGAAATATTCAGCCAGCTGCAGTGGGATGGGGCAGAGCCTTCCCAAAGTAAGTGAGGAATTACTTACCTGCATTCAGTTATTGGTAAAACAGTGCTGGTCCTACAGACTCTTAATATCGGTGTAAGGTGTCTCTAGAATAGAGCTATGGGGCCTCTTCTAGGGAGCAGTGTAGCCTTTCTTCCTCTCCTGTGTTGCAAGGAGGAGTATGATAAGATCAATAGAAGAATGAAATCTTCAGCTTTTTTTATGCAGGTGCCTTCTACGGGAAGAAATCCAGCAGTCGTTACAAGGACTGAGTATGTCTCTAAAATGAGCTTTGCAAACTGTTGTAATAAAGGTCAGCAAATGGCACTTCTGGCTAAAGTGACAAAGTTGCAGAGTTTTAACTGTCCTTCACATTCCTAGGGTTTAATGGTGGCACGTATCTCAAGATCCCAGTGTGCTATTACTAAAGAAGTGTTTGAATACCAAGTTGGAAGTCAAAGACTTCAAACATGAAGTCTGGAAATAGAGCTGAAAGGTGGTGCAGAAGTTGAGGTCAGCAGTTTTCTGGCAGCTTCACATCTGCAGATGTTGAAAGTGTATTTCAATGTCACTGCTTGGTGTCAGAATTTGATGGCTCAGGAGATCCGGGGAAGGATTTCACCCCATATAAAAGCCACAAGTATTGTACCTGAAAAAGAAATCACAAGGGTGAGTTTGTGAGCAGCATCTGTTTTGATAACCACATTGGTTTTAGGTGACATCAAGGGTATAGCACAGTGAATTGGGCTTTTTGAGGAGTATTTTTTGAAGGTCATTCTAGTTTAAAGTTTATTTTGAAGCTGAAAAATTATAGAGACTATGGGTTCTTATTAAGAAACATAGAATATCTCAAGTTGGAAAGGACCCAGAAGGATCACAGAGTCCAAAAAAGGGCACCTGGATACGGTTTAAGACCTTTTTGTTTCTCCTGGAAAAAACCTGTATTCTGTTTCAGAAATGAATGTCTGGTTGACAGCACTCCTCACCCAGAACTTGTACCTTATGAAGCTCCCTACATCACCAAAAAGCTTACTGGAAGGGATTATAGGCAAAAGTTCTTCCCTCTGAGGGTGGTGAGGTGTATTTTCTGTACTTTAATGACAAATCACTGTTGATGAATTGTTACAGACTGTAGCATCTCTCCCTAATCCCGTTCTAAATCCCTCAAAACATGGTTCCATTTGAGTTAACATCTGATGACTGTCTTAAGTCAAAAATCACCTGAAGGCTTGCTGCAGAGCAGGATACATCTTGCTAAGTGAGTAGGAGATGGTGTTTGAGAACACCTCCTGTTTGTTTAGATCACTTGCCAAAACCTTCAATCCCAAGTACTTAACAACCTGGAAAAGCTCCAAATGATTTCAGGTAGAAATCAGTCAACACACACAAAGCTAAACCTGGCTTTTGAGAAGTATGATGTGTTCTGTCAGGACCAGGTGATGCTCACACCAGCTTTGCCTACAACACTTCACTAGCTACCAACTGGAACAGCACACAGGCTTTTATCTTACTTATCAATAACCAAGCAGGATATGAACATAAACTATCTTAATATATCAAAATGATATTAAAGTGAATTTTAGTTAGCCTAAAACTTCTGTCTCCATTTTTGACTGAGAGTCAACACAAGCAGAAGATGCAGAGATAAAACCTCAGACAAGAAGTTCTTTCTTTTAACTGGTGCTCTTGGAGATGTTTCCTGTTTATGTTTCATGTCCTCTTGTACCTTCCTCACTGTGGTACCTCCCAATAGGATTAACAATCACGGAAGAACTAGGGATTAGCAGACAGCTTCTTTATATACCCTCTACACAGCAAGCTCAGGAGCTGTAGGAACTAACTGAACAACCAACAGCATGGAGCAGTTTCATTTGCACACAACTCAAAATCCACAGCTTCCAAATTAAAACTGTCATTTAAATTAGAGAAAATCTAGTTATTAATATTGCTTATTCTTGAATTGAGAAGAGATTGTTTCCAACCACAACTGGGGGAAAAAAAACACAGAATGGGAACTGCAAAGTTTAGACACTATGGAGATAAGAAAGATTTGGCATTATAATATAATTGGGAAAGCATTTTTTAAGCACTTGTGCTAATACCTATGGGTTTTTTAATTAATTAATTAATTAATAATTTTTAATTATGTTCTTGTATAGTGTCACAAAGCAAGACAGAAACTGTGCTAACCAGGATGTTTTTCTTTCTGAACTTAATCAGGCTAATATTCACTTCCAGGTGGCCTCTTCTCCTTTTAATACTCTGGTGGAATCTACAAGTGGGCCCTTGGTCAGTGGGAGCATTTGCAATGTACCTCAAACAGGCTGAACTGTAAGACCAAGGTATAAAGTCCCGAACGACAGGCAGCTCTGAAAGGATCCAGAGTAAATGGGTGTTGGTTTATAACTAACCAGTTAACCTTACCTAAACACTAACCTTTTCCCACATAGGACTGTGCTGGTGTGCTTGACTGGTAGGTACATTTTCTTGCTCAGAGTATCCCAGAAGTACTTAGACTTTGAACATAGAATCAGATGGGTTGGAAAAGACCTTTAAGATCAAGTCCAACTGTTCCCCAGCACTGCCAAGTCCAGCAATAAACCATGTCACTGAGGGCTTCATCTATGCATGGCATCTAAACTAAGCAATGATTTAACCTAATATGGTTGTTTCTTAAAATGAACTTACTGTAACAGCAGATACTATTTTGTCAATGAAACTGGTGTTTAAAACTCAGTTTCAGATGCTTGAGTCACAACAGAACACTACAGGTGCTCCACACAGAGCATTACACAGGTTTGAAATCCACAAGCCTGCATGTGCAGAGTGAACGCGATTGCAGCCCAGAAGGCCAACTGTATCCTGGGCTGCATCAAAAGGAGCGTGACCAGCAGGTCAAAGGAGGGGATCCTGTCCCTCTGCTCTGCTCTCATGAGACCTCACTTGCAGCATTGTGTGCAGTTCTGGTGTCCTCAACATAAAAAGGACATGGAACTGTTGGAACAAGTCCAGAGGAGGCCACAGGGATGATCAGGGGACTGGAGCAGCTCCTGTATGAAGATAGGCTGAGAAAGTTGGGGCTGTTCAGCCCGGAGAAGAGAAGCTGCGTGGAGACCTCATAGCAGCCTTCCAGTGTCTGAAGGGGGCCTACAGAGATGCTGGGGAGGGACTCTTCATTAGGGACTGTAGTAAGACAAGGGGTGATGGGTTTAAACTGAAACGGGAAGTTTAGACTGGATATAAGGAGGAAATTCTTTCGTGTTAGGGTGGTGAGGCACTGGAATGGGTTGCCAGGGGAAGATGTGAATGCTCCATCCCTGGCGGTGTTCAAGGCCAGGCCATGCCTTGGGTGCCATGGTTTAGTGTGAGGTGTCCCTGCCCAGGGCAGGGGGTTGGAACTGAATGAGCTTAAGGTCCTTTCCAACCCCAACCATTCTATGATTCTATGATTCTGAATGACTTCTACACAAATGCCTCCCATGGCAGGGGGTTAGAACTGGATGATCTTAAAGTCCTTTCCAAGCCAAACCAGTCTGTGATTCTATGATTCTGTGTTGTAATTGACTATGTTCTGGAATTCATTAAAGCAGACTATCAAATGAAGAAGTTCCTGATTTCTGAAGCAGGTATAGAATAAGACTACCTCAAATACATAAAGTATGAAGAACTTACCCAAGGACGGTGCTACCCAATATACTAGTGAGTAACTCAGAAACTTCTCATAGAAACAGTGTGGGTGTAATGACAAAGCCAATGCTGGGTTAAATATTGCTCCTGTGAGATTTCCACCTGCAGTAAAATGCAAACAATATGGAATCAAACAATGTGAAATCAAATCTTTATTAGTATTTATTCTAAGTTAATACTGAAACGCACATACACAATACTAAAAGCAATGTACACCCTGCAATAAAATGAATTAGCAGAAACCATGTGAATGGATAAACTCTTCTGTGTTACTTACCTGATGGCAGGGTTAAGAGATTAACTGTTTTCTAAAATGCTTCCAAATACCTGAAGTGTAGACTGTAACCTCTTTTATCTCTCCCTAGCAAATACTCTTTAAAGAGATGGGTTTGCCTCATGTTGAATGTTTCTGCTGATAAGCTCTTTTAGTCTGTAGCACACTGTTAGAAGAGAAGGGGGAATGGGTTTTATCCTGCCAGAGGGGAGACTGAGATGAGCTCTTAGGCAGAAGCTGTTCCCTGTAAGGGTGCTGAGGTGCTGGCACAGGGTGCCCAGAGAAGCTGTGGCTGCCCCATCCCTGGCAGTGTTCAAGGCCAGGTTGGACACAAGGGCTTGGAGCAAGCTGCTGTAGTAGAAGGTGTCCCTGCCCATGTCACAGGGTTAGAACTGGAGGTGCTTTAAGGTCCCTTCCAACCCAAACCAGTCTGGGATTCTATGAAGTTGTTCCCTGCCCCAGGCCAACCCCCCAGTTTCTATCCTGGGCATGACATGCTGTGGTATGGAATACCCCTTTGGCTAGTTCGGGTCAGGTGTCCTGTCTCTGCTCCCCTCCTGGCTTCTTGTGCCCCTCCTTGCTGGCAGAGCATGAGAGACTGAAAAGTCCTTGATTTAGATGTAAATGAAGTTGCCTCGACATTCTTTAAATAACTAGATCCAAACACATTACGTTGTGGGGACTAAACTGTAATTACACAGCAGATGAACCTGCAGCTGTTTTAATTCTGACATATGTTGTTCCTCTCATCACAATCTTGCAGGAAAAGCATTACTCACAGCAAAATCCTCTGTATTTCTGTATTATTTGTTACTAAACACCCCATATCTGTTTTATCTGTTAATCTGATCCCATCAAATCTAATTGTGTTTAGTTTCTTCAAGTTCCTTCTTAATTTTCCCTAAATAAGCTCTGCACTCCCCCTGCGTACAAATACTGTAACGTATTTGTAATGCTGTAACCCTCACTTGTATGAGCATCAGTTACCAAAAGCTTTAGTAAGGTCTTTGCCATTTTCTATTTCTCTATATAGAATATAGTCTCTCTATACAGATATTCCTCTATACAGAACAGTCTCCTTATGATTTCTTTTACTGTTATTCCACGTCAGGAAGATTTTAACCTTTGTTGATCTACTCAGTTTCCTCTGGTTTAAATGCGTTCTCCAGCACAACTCAAGATTTACTGCGCACACTTACACATTTAGTCTGTTACTGTGCACTCTTGACACATGAAGAACTTCCATGGTTGCCCGGGAGGCCATCTACAGTCATTCCATCTACTTCTGAACTCACTGCTTCTGCTTTTATAGCCACAAACAGACATTTAAGAGTACAATTTCATTATCAGGATGTAGCTGCTGTTTGTGAACATTAAACAGACGTTTAGCTGCTGTATTTCTTCAATATTCATTACTAATAACTACTGGAATATCAACCATGGGCCAGGGCCACTTGTATAATCTTATTTTAAAATGCTTTTTAGACATCTCAGTCTGTGCACCAGACTTATGGCAAAAGAAGTGTTAACATCTATGTCGTTGGACCCAGGAAAGCTTAAAAAGAGGAAGTAATTAGTGCTCCACACATGAGAGTCATTTTAACACTTGAGTTTACTAAACGCAAACCCAAAATTAGGAAGAAACTTGGAATTAAATATATATATGTAATTTCTACTGTGCTGTTTTAGGCTCAGAAAGATTTAACCAATTTCATGCAATTCTGACTTCACTGTAAAACTGCTTCTAAATGAAAAAGCCCTCAAAAAGGTGTATTTGCACTTGGGCCATGCCAAGTACAAGGTCCTACACCAGGGTTGGAGCAATCCCAGGCACGGCTACAGGTTGGGCAGAGAAGAGATTCAGAGCAGCCCTGCAGAGAAGGACTTGGGGGTGTTGTTGGTTGATGAGAAAATGAACATGAGCCGGCTCCAGTGTGCGCTCACAGCCCAGAAAGCAACCGTGTCCTGGGCTGCATTGAAAGGAGCATGACCAGCAGGTCAAAGGAGGGGATCCTGCCCCTCTGCTCTGCTCTTGTGAGACCTCACCTGGAATATTGTGTGCAGTTCTGGTGTCCTCAACATAAAAAGGACATGGAGCTGTTGGAAGAAGTCCAGAGGAGGCCACGAGGATGATCAGGGGCTGGAGCAGCTCCTGTATGGAGACAGGCTGAGAAAGTTGGGGCTGTTCAGCCTGGAGAAGAGAAGCTGCGTGGAGACCTCAGAGCAGCTTCCAGTGTCTGAAGGGGGCCTGTAGGGATGCTGGAGAGGGACTCTTCATTAGGGACTGTAGGAACAGGACAAGGGGTAACGGGTTTAAACTGAAACAGGGGAGGTTAAGACTGGATATAAGGAAGAAGTTCTTTACTGTGAGGGTGGTGAGGCACTGGAATGGGTTGCCCAGGGAAGTTGTGACTGCTCCATCCTTGGCAATGTTCAAGGCCAGGCTGGACAGAGCCCTCGGTGCCATGGTTTAGTGTGAGGTGTCCCTGCCCATAGCAAGGGGGTTGGAACTGGATGATCTTAAGGTCCTTTCCAACCCTAACTATTCCATGATTCTATGATTCTATTTTTACTCTTATCCGAATTAAATCATTTCCCAAAGGAAATATCCAAAGGTAGTCTTTAGCAATATGTATATGGTGTGCATCCTTAGCTTCTGAATCACTGCCTTCATATGCAAAGACATAATGTTCTCTTTTTCCTTCTATTTTGGAGAAGAAACAGCAAATGCAGAAATGGAGCTTTTCTGCACAAGTTGTGCTGTAAAAATTTGGTCTGTGGAAGACTGGATGTTAAAAAAGATCCAAATATTTTTAACTAGGAAAAAGTAGAAAAAAACCTAAAGGAATAGCTTGAAATTTTGAAGCTCCTGTATAATCTGACATTATTTGTTGCATACCCAATACCGATATGGGGTACACACAACAGTGACATGTCAACAGTTACTTCTTCTGAACACCTTCACTGTCACCATATAAATGTAACTGAATAGTTTTGAGCCCTGCATGTGTATCAATACACTTGGACTGGGATAAGCCATAGGGATATGGGTATCCTTCAAAATAACACCCAAAATAAACTGGAATTGGAGATACTCTTGCTTACAGCCCCTTTTTTTAGACAGCAATTCTTCCACCTACAGCTTTCAAACCCATAGTAGAACATAATTCATGGAATGAAATGTGATATATTATGGATGAGGTGTATTTTCTAATGTGTCTGGTTCATTCATAACTAATAAGCACAGGTCCTGAAGGCACAACTGATGGGGTTTTAAAATTGGAGTGTAAAACCCAAATCAGCATGGTTTTATATTGTAGATTTAAGGAGAATGGAGTGTATTCTGAGGAATGTGTGTGTAGATGTGGGCAAAGGGAAAGATCTACCAAGAAAGGTTTGAGAACCTCTTGGTGTCCTAAGTACCTACCTAACCTCCCACTGAAAAGAGATCTATTACACTCCAAGCCTGTGACAGGAAGAAATGCATAGCTGCAGCATTTTCCCACATTTGTTATAACAGCTCCATGATAGCAATCTCTGATTTTGTGCCTTCCTCTAATTCAAGAGGCTTCAATCAACATCTTAGGAGTGAAGAGGAAACACCCAAGTTCATGCCTACAACAGGGGAAGGACAGCACTTTTCACTGCACCAGTTAACACAAAGGAAAAACATGACTGCTACTGCTGAACCCAGGACAACCTTCCTTTTGAAGCTGAGTGTACAGCAAAGAGTGCAAACCTTAGGAAGCTTGGAGCAGAGTGAACAAGAAAGAATGAGATTCAAAAGAAGCATGGCCAGCAGGTCAGGGGAAGGGATCCTCCCCCTGTACTCTGCTCCTGTAAGATCCCCCTGCAGTCCTGATCCAGCTCTGGGGCAGCAGCACAAGAGGGATGTGGAGCTGTTGGAGCGAGGCCAGAGGAGGCCATGGAGATGCTGCAAGGGCTGGAGCAGCTCTGCTCTGGAGCCAGGCTGAGAGAGCTGGGCTGGGTCAGCCTGGAGAAGAGAAGGTTCCTGAAGGGGAGACCTGAGAGCAGCTCCAGTGCCTAAAGGGGCTGCAGGAAAGCTGGAGAGGGGCTTTGGACAAGGGCCTGTAGGGACAGGCCAAGGGGAATGGCTTTAACCTGCCTGAGGGGAGACTGAGCTGAGCTCTTAGGCAGAAGCTCTTCCCTGTGAGGGTGCTGAGGCACTGGCACAGGGTGCCCAGAGAAGCTGTGGCTGCCCCATCCCTGGCAGTGTTCAAGGCCAGGTTGGACACAGGGGCTTGGAGGAAGCTGCTCTAGTGGAAGGGGTCCCTGCCCGTGGCAGTGGTTGGAACTGGATGAGCTTTAAAGTCCCTTCCAACCCAAACCACTCTGGGGATTCCACTAAGTATGGGATAATACTAGCTTCAGGATCTACTCTCTGGAATGCACATGCATTTTTATAGTAGACTTAATGCTCAATTAAAAGAAATTGAAAGAAAACTGTCCATGTAGCACAGGGTGTTCTGTACACAAATACAGACAAACTGTGCTTGTTGAAGAGGGGAAAGGAGGTCTGATCATTCCTAGAAGTACATGGGGATCAACTGCACTCGACAGTCGTAACAAGTCCAAGTTTATGACAAGGAAGAGAAGGAAGTGCACAACCTTCTCCTGTTAGAGAAAGGTCTGAGTCCAGCCTGGCCAGTGACAGGGGCATGAACCCTTTTCATGTCCTGTCAAAAAGAAAGCCAGTGTGACACATATTATTGTGTATGACTATTTACTAAGTAATAAAAGAATGTTAAGAACCAGGAACTCAGCTTTTTATCCTTGTAAAAGAGGGAGAATGACTTTTAGCTACACTTCAAATGAGGAATTCAGAAATATATTTGATGTGCTAAAATGCACTGACACCTTCCCTCTGCCTTCAAAATTAGTATTAGGAAGTAGTTCAAACTGCCAAATTAATGCTTAGAATTCTCTATGGGCTTCTTTTAATCTTTCAGGTATTGGCTAATTTCAGGTAAATGTAATGAGTAACGGGTTTTTTTCATTAATACAGCTGAAAATTCGCCTCTTTTCTACTATATACTATTATGGTTGATAGCATAATACAGTTAAATCTTTTACACCAGATGTCAGGGTCATCCCAGATGTTTGCTGCTAAGAGAGTGATTTCCCTCTCTCATAACCAGATTTGATCATTTCCTAAATGACTGTGGTGGGGGTTGTAGCACAAGCACTTCTATAACCATCTCACCTCTCCGTATCCCAAACGACAGAATCTCCTTCCCAGTACAACCCTGCAGGGTGCCAAGTGACACAACAACTCTGGTACCTCCCTGGGGGCAACGGGGAGCATCAGCTGGGGAATGAAGTTCAAACTGACTCCCCTCACCACTTCCTTCCCACTCAACTGATACTGCCCAAGTGACAGTGTCCCTGCACTGGGAAGCCCTGAGGTGACAACCAGGCAGAGGCAAGGACATGGATACACAGGGCACTACAGAGACATCAAGCTCTTGTCAATGCCACGATACAACAGGCACCTGATATATTCCCTTTTCTACACTTGGTTTCATGAAGTATTTTATCATTACTGCATGTATGCTACAAATGACCATTCCTGCTTCTGCTGTGAGGATTTAACAGTTAAATAAACTGCACTGCTACGCATTATGCATTATTTAAATGCAGAACTTATGCCATATCACACCAATCTGTACCTTGCTGTTGCACAATCCGTGCTGTTTTCCTTTCGCAATGCCATTTAGGAATCAGAGCACACTGAAATCTCTCACGTTGTATCAAGTTGGGTTATGAAACGATCCTTCACTGTGCTATTTTAACAGTGTTGTGTGAAAACCTTTCCTTGTGGATTTGACACTATTTTACATTCAAAACTCATTTCATTTGTAGCCCCACACCTGCCTGGAATCTAAATCAGGGAAACTTTACATAAACTCTGCGTATGTTGGACCAAAGACTCTCCTTGATGCATTGTTTGTAGTGCAAGAACAATACTTTTACATCTTAATGCTTTTAAGTCAATAAACCCCCTCCTTCTGAAACAATTTCACTGCAGGAACAGAGAAGACCAAAGACTAACCTGCATACACGAGCATGGTGATGAGAAGAGCCATCAGATGGACTCTGTATTTGGGGTTAACTCTCTCCGCTCGCAGCAAGGTCAGCTGGAAAACGGCAGAAAAGAGCAGCTCTATGCAGAACGCCTGCATCACTGTAGTCTGCATGGGGCTGCTGCAGCCCTGCGAGAGGGCTCCAGAATGTGCCTCTGCCATCCCCAGGCTCCAGATACAACGCACGAACACCCTGGCAAGCACCGCAGCCACGAACTGAGCGGCGATCTTGAGCCCTCCCGTCTTGAGCGCTATCCCACCGCTCCACATGGGCTGCAGCGTGCCGCAGGGATTGCATGCGCTGCCGGTCAGAGTCAGGCCGTGAAGGACGGTGAAGCCGTAGGTGAGGCTGAGCGCGACGTGAGGCTTCGGCTCCACGTTGCCGAGCAGGCAGAGCTCGTTCGTGCAGGCACAGATCTGGAAGGTGCTCAACAGCTCCGTGAGGGCGGTGAAAAGGCGGCGGTCTGAGTACAGCCGGCGGCGGAGCAGCCTCTTGCACAGCCCCACGGCCACCACGACGCTGGTCATGAAGAGGAGCGAGACCCCAGCCCCACCGACAGCCATGGCGAGAGGCTGACAGGACGGAGGGCTTCACCCCGCTCCAGCCCCACCACCTATGGAGAGAAAGGCAGCAGGAGGAGGGAGGGAAAATGCCCACCCCTTTCCCTTGCCAGCTTCGGTCCCCACCTGCTCGGAGCCTGCGAGGCGCCTGACTCACCCGCCGCTTGCCGGGAGCAAAGGGCAGGGAGCCCGGCTGCACCGGGGGGGAAGGCAGGGGGATCCCTGAGTCCTCCTGGGAAGCGGCTGGGAGGAGAAAGGTCTCCCTTTGCGGTGCTAAAGGAGCACGGGGCGGGAAGAAGGGGGCTCCGCTCTCCCTCAGCGGTGAGGCGGGCGAGCTCCCCTCAGCCAGCCGGAGAGCGGAGAAGGTTAAAGCGGGCCCCCGCTGCCGGCGGACCCGGAGCCGAGCCCGAGCCCCAGCCCCTCAGTGGAGCCGGTGGCTCTGCCTCCCCGTCGGCAGCCGTTGGAAGGGAAGCTCCGTCCCCTCAGCGGGGTGAGGAGAAGCGGCGGCCGCCTCCTCCCCAACCGGGCCCGCCGGCGGCGAACGGGAGGGGTGAGGGAGCGCGCATGCGCGGGGCACGAAATGGCGGGGGGGGGGGACGGGACGCGGGGGTGTCCGTTCGTTCCCGCCCGCGGGACGATGGCGCTGAGGGGCGCTGTGGGTGTTAATTCACGTTAATGAGTAATTAATAGGTCAAGGGGAATGGGTTTAACCTGCCTGAGGGGAGACTGAGATGAGCTCTTAGGCAGAAGCTCTTCCCTGTGAGGGTGCTGAGGCGCTGGCACAGGGTGCCCAGAGAAGCTGTGGCTGCCCCATCCCTGGCAGTGTTCAAGGCCAGGTTGGACACAGGGGCTTGGAGCAAGCTGCTCTAGTGGAAGGGGTCCCTGCCCGTGGCATGGAGTTGGAGCTGAATGAGCTTTAAGGTCCCCTCCAACACAAACCACTCTGGATTCTATGACCCTATGAAATCTAGAACCAGCAACACGTCAGGACTTGGTAAGTTTGGGAGTAAAAGAGTATCGGGGAAGCCCATCTTCCAGGAGGATCATTTGGCTGTGAGAAACAGGGATGTTTTTACCAGGAGGGGTTAAAACCAGCACTTAAATAACGATAACGTAAGGAGAGGGAAGGAGAAACTGGCAGAGTTGTTCCTGTTTGGCTTTTTTGTTTATGCAAGATTAGATGTCAAGAAACGTGGCTGAGGCAAGGCAATGCACTTGATGGTGTTGGGTCATTATGAAAGTCCTGACGCACCTGAATTAAAGCAAGTGCTTCTCCCACTAAGGATGTTCTGTAGCTGTACTATGGAAGACCAGGTACATAGGATCATAGAATCACAGAATGGGTTGGGGTGGAAAGGACCTTAAGATCATCCAGTTCCAACCAGGCTGCCATGGGCAGAGACACCTCACACTAAACCATGATACATGTATTGAAGGTTTTGGATGAAATTAAGCAATGTCCTACTGGGAATAAGGACCAGAATAAGAAACCTGGCTTTAATAACGTATATGCAGAATCCTCTCCTGGTTTGGTTATTTTCTCTCTTACCACAGCTTTATCCACTCCGTTTTGAATTCCCTGGTGACAATGCACACAATCATGGACGTGCTCAGCATTAAGCTGGAAAAATCACCTCCTATTTTCCTTTCCTACAGGGGCTGTTGTAGTTTTTAGAGTCATAGAATCACAGAATGGTTTGGGTTGGAAAGGACCTTAAGATCATCCAGTTCCAACCCCCTGCCATGGGCAGGGACACCTCACACTAAATCGTATCACCCAAGGCTCTGTCCAGCCTGGCCTTGAACACTGCCAGGGATGGAGCATTCACAGCTTCCTTGGGGAATGCATTCCAGTGCCTCACCACCCTAACAGTAAAGAACTTCTTCCTTATATTTTGCAGAGAAGAGATTCAGAGCAGCCCTGCAGAGAAGGACTTGGGGGTGTTGTTGGTTGATGGGAAAATGAACATGAGCCAGCTTCAGTGTGCGCTCCCAGCCCAGAAAGCAACCGTATCCTGGGCTTCATCAAAAGGAGCGTGACCAGCAGGTCGAAGGAGGGGATCCTGTCCCTCTGCTCTGCTCTTGTGAGACCTCACCTGCAGCACTGTGTGCAGTTCTGGTGTCCTCAATATAAAAAGGACATGGAACTGTTGGAACAAGTCCAGAGGAGGCCACGAGGATGCTCAGGGGCTGGAGCAGCTCCTGTATGGAGACAGGCTGAGGAACTTGGGGCTGTTGATCCTGGAGAAGAGAAGCTGCATGGAGACCTCAGAGCAGCTTCCAGTGTCTGAAGGGGGCTACAAGGATGCTGGGGAGGGCCTCTTCTTTAGGGACTGCAGTGATAGGACAAGGGGTAATGGGTTCAAACTGAAACAGGGGACGTTCAGGTTGGAGATAAGGAAGAAGTTCTTTCCTGTTAGGGTGCTGAGGCACTGGAATGGGTTGCCCAGGGAGGCTGTGAATGCTCCATCCTTAGCAATGTTCAGGGCCAGGTTGGACAGAGCCTTGAGTACCATGGTTTAGTGTGAGGTGTCCCTGCCCATGGCACGGGGCTGGAACTTGATGGTCTTAAGGTCCTTTCCAACCCAAACCGTTCTACGATTCTATAATATGGGAATCCAGTGTGGTGTCACATAGTGAAGCACAGCCATTTGTGTTCTTCCTATTCTTGCAGGTTGCCAGAGAGCACAAGAGTTATTGCCAGCCTGTTTTGCACCTCAGACAGTTGCTTACAACCAGTCATCAATGTGTCATGTCCAAACAGAGCAATAGTGTGGATGTGCCATTTCAAGGCACGCTCTCAAGGTGGAACACTGAAGTGTGGGCTGGAATTGATTGTAGTTCTAGGTACTTTTTAAGTGTAGTTGGCACCAATGACATGATGGGGTCAAACAAACCCCCATTACCTGTACGAGCAGCTCCAGTGGGTATTTTACCTTGCTCGTGTACATATAACCGTGGTTTTGACCAGCAGAGGGTAGTGTCATTCCAAACAACTGCTGCTGCTGGGCTCCTAGAGCCGCCTCGTGTTTTGCCACCCATGGATTTTCTACATCAGTGCGAGCCTCTAAATGTGTAGCTTGTAAAAATGAATGTTAAAACCTGGAATGTCTTTTAAAATTCATTTTGCATTGATCTTCTTGAAACTAAGTAAGTTGGGCTCATCATTGTGTGGCTCTCATTCCAGGTTGTCCCGTCCATATACCAGATTCCCTCATTCTCCTGCCTGCTCCATACCAGGACATAATTTACCTTTTCTTTGATGCTCCCCACTTTCTTATCCCCTCATTTCAGAGTCCTTCCACATCCTTTCCCCTCATTTTCCCTTCCATGCATATCAGCGCTTGTATTTCCTTTCCTATTTGTATATTCCTACTTTCCTTCTCTGCCCAAGCCCTCATATTTCCTGCTTTTTTTCATAGCAGTTACGCAGTTAGTTGTTCTTAGCTCTGTGTACGGCTTCAGCCCCCTTCCTTCCGAAAATTCCCTGATCTACTTCCTTTTCCTATGGCAGGCTGAGTCATTCGGTGGGTACAACGTGCCAAGAATACTTGGATGGGTTTTGCAGGGGTGAAATTGGGCATTATCGTGCTGGAAGAGACTGGCAAACGCTTCCAACCACTTTAATGCTAATGAACACTTGCAGAGGAGTTGAATCTGTCTCAGGGAGTTCATGTGCTCCTGTTTTCCCTGCTGTGGTTTCCCCCCAAATTAAGCAGCTTTGCACTGACATTGAAAACTTCCCTTGAAATCATAGAATCATAAAATAGTTTGGGTTGGAAAGGACCTTAAGATCATCAAGTTCCAACCCCCCTGCCATGGGCAGGGACACCTCACACTAAACCATGGCACCCAAGGCCTCTTCCAATCTGGTCTTAAACATGGCCAGGGATGGAGCATTCGCAACATCCCTGGGCAACCCATTCCAGTACCTCACCACCCTAACAGGAAAGAATTTCCTCCTTATACCCAATCTAAACTTCCCTTGTTTCAGTCTGAACCCATCACCCCTTGTCCTGTCACTGCAGTCCCTAATGAAGAGTCCCTCCCCAGCATCCCTATGGGCCCCCTTCAGACACTGGAAGCTGCTCTGAGGTCTCCACGCAGCTTCTCTTCTCCAGGCTCAACAGCCCCAGTGTTCTCAGCCTGTCTTCATACAGGAGCTGCTCCAGCCCCTGATCATCCTCGTGGCCTCCTCTGGACTTGTTCCAACAGTTCCATGTCCTTTTTATGTTGAGGACACCAGAACTGCACACAATGCTCCAGGTGAGGTCTCACCAGAGCTGAGTAGAGGGATCGATTAGATACAGACACTAAAGGTACTCTTAGCGCCTCCAAACAGAAAAGCCTTGTCGAGCACAGGCCCTGGCAAGCTCGAGCACAGCTTTTCTTAGCAAGGGGCTGTGGAGGCTTAAGATGTTTTCCCTTTCTGGCTGCTCTTCACAGGGGTTGAAGGACGGTGCCAGACTTTGCCCTAGAGGGCACTCGGGAGCTCTGCTGCACCCACACCGCTGTGGGTCCTGGTGGGTGGATGATAGGAAGGAGCCAGGAATGATGGCACTGGGGGGTTGCTCACTACACATGTGAGCTTTTTGGATAATAGATCTAAAAGTGCTTGATATCAGCACAATAAATGCCCCTGCATGTGCAGACTATTGCTTTAAGGATCCGGGGAGGGTATTAGCGCAGATCAAAGCCTGAAAAATGTCCATGTTCCTTAAATCTCTGCTGATACCAGCAAGCTAAACAGCATCAGGGATGTTCCTGAGCACTGGAGCTCAATTGTTTCTACTGATTCTCATTAATCATTCCATGGTTTTAGCCTGGGGCAATGAGCAGCCTCCCAAAATACTCCAGGGCATGGTTTGGGGGATACATCCTGCCACCCCCAGTGTGCAGATTGTGTGTTTCTAATGACTTCTCCAGGCTTTCATAGAATCAATGTTAGACATCCTGTGCCAGTTGGCCCCAGGGGCAGAGACTGGTCCCAGACTTGTTTAATTTACCAGTGTGGGTGTAATGATAGCGATTAGGCCCAGCCTGAAAACTGGGATTTGCAAACCCTGTTGGGTTTAGGCAGCAGTAACAGGAGGGAGGTTATAGAATCACAGGATGGTTTTGGTTGGAAGGGACCTTAAAGCTTATCTAGTTCCTTAAAGCTCATCCAGTTCCAACCCGTGGCAGGCGTATTGGAACTAGATGAGCTTTAAGGTCCCTTCCAACCCAAACCATGCTGTAATTCCATGATTCAGGTATGTTTCTAAGTAGTTCTGCAGTGTCCTTTTCTGTTTCCTCTCGAGTAGCTTGCTACTCCTGCAAGGGCACCATTGGTTTGAAATGACATTTTAACATTAAATATAAGTTTATATTTAAATAAAAATGTAAAGTTGTCCTTAAGATCCATGCACAGGGTTTTATAGCTGCTTATAAACGTACGTTTCTTAATTAGAAAAGGTAACTTAGATCCATAGTTCCAAGAT